GCCAGGTTGACCTCTCGGTCGACGGCGATCTGGACGCTCCTGATGATGCGTCGCCACTCCTCGCACAGCAGGTCGTGCCGCCAGATGCGCTCGTTGCCTGTGCCGCAGCAGAGGATGTGGTCACCGTAGGGATCCAGCGGTTTGCCGCACGAGCAGAAGTCCGATGCGAGTGAGGGGTGTTGGGTGGCGCCGATCCTCAGACGGCAGCAGGTGACGAATTCCTCGTTGGTAAAGCGGAGGCCCGGGTGCGCCGAGACCGTCGTCAGCCAGCCGCTAGCTCCTGGGCCTCGGCAGCTTCTCAGCCGTGCGCGGTCTCTTGACTCCTCGCCGAACTCGTCCAGCAGGGCGTCTGCTTCGATGCGCATCAGGCTGGCCGTCAGATCGTGTTGCAGCCGTGGCTTTGTGCGTCCCTCCAGCAGCTTGGCCAGCGTGGGCACCTCCGTCTCTGGCAGCTTCTCCAGTAGCTTCTCTCTTGCCGCCTCCGCAGCCCGTAGCCATGGCAGCTGCAGTAAAGCTGCCGCTCCGTCCTCCCCTCCATCCCCCCCTCCCTCCCCCCCTCCCTCCCCCTGTGGCATCCATGGCGCCAGCTGGTAGTGTCTCCACACGTATGGCAGCGTCACAGCGGTGCAGCCGAGATATGCCGCCGGCAGGATGGCGCTCGCCGCCGTGATACCCATTCCCCCCTCTCTCACTGGTAGCGCCATCTGTCGTCGCTGCGGCTCGGTGGAGTCCTCCTCTCCCAGCCCGTGGATGGCGATGGCTGCATTCATGACCTCCTCGTCCCTCATTAGCGCCGTGACCTCGGTGGTTAAAGGGCGCTGGGAAAGGAGACGAAGCCAGTAATACAGCCGTGGGACTGCGCAAGAGCGGAAGAGAAGCGATGAGTCCTGCCGCTGCTCGTGTGCGAACGCGTTGAGTCGTTCGATGAGGGGGCGGTGGGAGTCGAGGACGCTCTGCAGCTTGTTAGCGACGTAGCCGTCCGTCCCTATTGCCCCACCCAGGATGTCAATGCCCTCACCCGAGAGCCCCTCCCTCTCAAAGCCAGGCAGCAGGTCGTCCGGTGGTGGCTCGCTGTCCGTCCAGTGGGGGCCGTACGCCTTGCTCTTCTTCCTGGCCAGCTTGAGGCTGATGGTCTGCAGCTCTTCCTCCGCTTTGTTCACCACCCCATCTGCCTCACTCTCGTCGGCCCCCGGTGTGATATCGTCCATGAAGGCTTGTATGAGGGCGCGTGGGTAGCTGGCTTGGATGGCCTTGAGCACCGGCTGGAGGGCCAGGCAGAAGAGGAAGGGGCCGGCCGGGTCTCCTTGCTGAGTGCCTTGCTGGCTCAGGATGGTCCTCACCCTGCCGTCTGCAAGTCGATACCACAGCTCCGCCGGCTCTCCATAGAACTGCCAGAGGAAGTGGAAGAGCTCAGGGAACTGGCTGGCGAGTTCGTTGACGATCGCTTGACGGTCCACCTCGTTGAAGGCGTTTGTGCAATCCAGCGTCGTAAGCAGTCGCTTCTCGCCCTCCCTCCGGCTCTGGATGAAGGTCTCGGCGGCTTTGAACAGCTTCTCGTTGCCTGCTGGGGTGCCGACTGCGCACTGGAGGGGGGCAAAGTAGGCGGCCATCTTGTTTTTGTACTGCATGCACACTGCTCTCGTCACCCATCGCCGCACTGCATCCCCTACCGCCACCGGCCGCACCTTGCTGGGCCCTTTCGTCAGCGCCATCAGATTCGCAGTGCCGAGCAGCTTGGTGACAAGCTGTGGGAGCTTCGCGCTCAGCAGCCGTCTGATGATCTTGGGGAAGGGGATGCGCTCCTCTCCCTGCCGGAGCCCTTGCTTCGACGAGTTGAGGTAGCCCAGCAGATGCTCGAACCGCCAGCCGGACGGCCCTGGTGCTGCGCCTTTTGCTGCTGAGCGGAGTGCCTTCGCGAGCACCTTGGGTGGGACGTCGAGTGCCGCGGGCTCCACGTTGATGTCCGGCTTGGTGACGGGCGTGTTGCGTGAGGGGTGAAGGGCTTGCAGCTTGGCGTATGTCTCCTCCGTGGCTGGGGCGACTGGGGTGGAGTCCAGCTTCTTGGCCGCTCGTGTGAACTCCCCAAGCTCCACTAGCCGCTTGGCTGTCATGAACGCCCTCTGCGTTGCCGTGTCGTGGGTGGGGTGGGCGGGTGTGGGGTGGATGGCCGGTGTCGTCTCGGTGCTCTTCGGTGCGAAATCGGCCCCCTCTCGTAGCAGCAGCTCCCATTCCCCTTCCGAAAACAGCCGAAATCTCCGCTCCCACTTCCTCCTCCCTCCCGCCCCTCCTCTCTTGGTTGGGAACAGCAGTAACGAAGGGATGTACAGAAACAGGAGGAACCCGTCGTCCAGCTGGTTGGTGTCGCCGTCGGGGCTGACCAACGCGTCAGCCGCCTCCATCACGTCCCATAGGCTGAGCTTTGCCTGTGGGGGGATCCTCGCCTACGTCGGGATGCCCATGCGCCAGGTCGCCGTGTGCTGCTCTTCTGTGCGGTTCCTCAGGAACGCCAGCCCTCTTTCCGGGATCGTCTTGGTCGCCCCACGCGTGCCGTTGCGTGCTGATGTGGCGCGGCGGCTGCCGCCCTCATTGTGGTCTCCCCCATCGCCGCCCCCACCCGTGTCGTCGCCTGGCCCGTCGGGGTCCCCGCCATCGCCGCCTCCTCCTCCTCTCGGCGCGACACGCCCTCGCCCCCCGCCTCGCCCCCTCCCCCGTCCTCTCCCTGACCCTCGGCCGCCTCGTCTGCCGCCTCTGCCCCCTCTCGTGTTGCTGGCGTGGTTGTCTGCGCCTGTTGGCGGCTGAGGGGGTTGTGGAGGTGGTTGAGACGGTTGAGAGGGCTGTTGAGAGGGCTGTTGGGATGGTGGGGCCAGGCCTGGTGGGCGACCTCTAATTGCCACCCATATGTGTGTCGGCGGCTGTGCTGGTTGTCCTGGCGGCGCCCTTCTCTGCATCGGGATCCATACGCCCGCCTCATGCCCTGAGGCGGCGTGTCGCTGGGTTCTGGGGCGCCGGACGAGTGTGGGGGCCGATGGTGGTGCGCCTGGGTACGTGGTGGGGCGCCATCCTTGTCGTGTGTGGGGCGGAGGATGTTGCGTGTGGGGTTGGGATCGATGCCGACACTCACCCGAGTGAGAAGCACGAGGGTGCATTGAGTGTGGGTTCGATTCCGTTAGGGGGTTTTCTTGCTGTGAGCTGCCCCGCTCCTCTTGGCTCTCGTCTTGGTCCTCTTGCTCCTCCCCATACTGATAATCCCCCTCTATGTACTCGCACTCGCGCTCAGGCGCTTCTCCCTCTTGCACGCTGCTTGAGGCGGGCTGTCGGGCATGCTGCTGGCTCACGGCTCGCCAGACGCTCCTGCTGGTTCTTGGTGGTGTGTCCGGGTGGGCGGCGGACCGTTCGGTGGGTGCGACGGCTTCTGGCCGGGCGGCTTGTTGGCTGGTGGGCCGCCTGGCGCCTCTGGTAGGCCCTGGTGGTGCGGGTGGCTGGGTGGCGGGCTGCTCAGTGGGGGCGGTTGCCTCTGGCGAAGCGGCTGGCCGGTTGACGGGCCGCCACTCCCGCCCGCTGCGCTGCTGGGGCTGTTGTGTGGCGGACTCGTCTGCGGCTGCCTCCTCCTCGTCAATGGTCTCCAGCGCTTGAAAGGGGTTGGGCGACCGCATGGCTGGTTGTCCGCCCCTGCTGCGCTGAGGCCGCCGGGCCACCGATCTGGGGAGCTGGAAGCCTCTCGGGAGGTATATTTGCCGTTGTCTTCTGCCGTGCTGCCGCCTCTGTCGTCGTGTTGCGAGAGACATATTGGCGCGGGACGCCGTGCTGCTGGTCCTCGGGCGGGTATTGTTGTTGTTGCTTTGCCTCCTCGGTTGTGCCGCCTGTGCCGCTCCGTTTGACGATCCGCTCGCCGCCGGTGTAGCCGCCTCCCTTCTGGTATTGACCACGTCGACCCACGCCCTCCCCCCCGCCTGCTCCGTGTTTTCGCTGGGCTGCTAGGAAGGCTCTGTCGGAGGTCGCCATTCGTCGTCTTGCTCTTCCTGTCGTGCTGGGCCGTAGAGCTCTGGGTCGTTCGCTATTGCATCCTCCATCTCAGCCATGCTGCCTGGCAGTGGGGGCTCCTCGATGCCGAGCTCCAGGTTGCGATTGAGTTGGGGCAGCTCGAGCAGCAGTGTGTTGGTGCCTGGCAGCATGAGCACGTCCTCTTCTAGGCGCCATCTGCCCTCTACTGCGTCGCCAGCGTTGTACTGGTCGGACGCGTCGGCCCTCGGTGCGTTGCGATGCACGTGCTCGATGATGTGGGCGCAGAGCGGGAGGGTCCCTTCATCTCCTACGGCTTCCTCAAGCACCTCGAAGGCGAAGTGCGCGCGGCATTGCGGGCAGCGGTGTCCGTTTTGGTGGGTGTATGTCCGCAGCAGGCAGCGGATGCATGTGTCTGGGTGGCAGGGGAGGCGGTGCAACGCGTCGCCGTGCAGCTCTTCTGCACAGACAGTGCATAGTGCGCCGCTCTGAGTCTGCTGGCTCGGTTCGTCGGCTTCTTGGCCATTGCCTTCTTGGAATAGCCGCCTCACATTCCCCGCATAGTAGTCCCTGGCCTGTCTTGCTTCAGTGTTGCGGAGGTTGTAGGCCATCACCCAGGCTCCCCCGAGTGTCGCCCCGACTCATCCGAGTGGAGCACACGAGGATGCATGGAGTGGTTCAATTATCCCAGTCAGCCTTTTTGCATCTCCGGTGCGCCTCCTGCCGATGTCGACCTCCTCCGATGAATCGCATGTCGCCAGGACCGTCAGGGGGAGGCGGAGCTGATGCCGTGCTCCATCTTATGCCTCCATGGCTTCCTGTGATGGATAAACCCCCTTGCCATCATGCGAGCTAGGAAGCTATGCCTTTGAAGAAGTAGGTAGGTAGGTAGGTAGGTAGTGTGTTTAACGCGCCTCGTGGCCCTAACCTCCGAGTCTTTTTTCGAGTCGGATTCATGTACACTGGCCACGCACGATCACACTCCGATCGACCGATCGCACGCCTCTGTGTCCTCAGCTATTGCACGGTTTCACGGCAGCTACCCTACGCATCCTAGTGCCACTCCTCGGCTGGTCCTCGCGGCGCGCCCAGTGAGATCCGTTTGACAGACAGTCCAGTGAGATCCTTAGGGTAGCTAGTCTAGACCCTCCTCGCGAAACTTGCGCCGTGGTCAACTGGAGGAATTGAACCCACGACGACCGGCTCACATGACTCCGTGGCGAACCACTCGCCATGGAGCCGGCGAAGTGCTTTGAGCTGTGCGAGCTATGCGAGCTAATTAGAAGTTAGTGTGTACCTTTCGATCCGCGACATTTTGTAACGTGTCCCTTTCCGATCGCCTTCCGTTACGAGCCGGCCCTACCCCCTCGTAGCCGTTCGTCGACCCGCGTTCGCGGGGGTTCCATCGAATTTACATCTGTCGTCAGCCATCACGATTTGATGATTTGATCTGTGTTGACCTTCCTTTGTCACCTCACCTTTGCCCATATATATCGCCAAATTCCCTTGCAGAAGTGATGAAGATCCTTTGAAACGAGTCTACATAGAAGGCGAAAGCGAGGCCTTCAACATCAAACAGCAATCGATAAAGAGCCGTTGACAAGACCCGACGAGCTCAAGAAGCGGCTAGAGAAGACCAGTGGCAACCTCCAAGTCTGCCAGCAGTATGTCCGGAGCTGGCCATCGTCAGCTATCTTTGGCGAAATATATATATCATCAGGGGCCCATTGGTGGGTTAGGGCGCTCCACTACCGAAAAAAGAGAGACACGTTGCAGTGCAGTGAATTCACAGTGTATCTATGACTGTTCCGAAAGCACAGACGAGTGTTACGGTTAATGCAAGTTACCATTCACAGTGGTGTCTCTTCGATGTGGTTCATCACACTCCTCTCCCGGGTCCCATTCATCTTATTCTGTCTTCGGCTCAATTCGAGGGGGGAAGGGCGATAAGAGCTCTCAGCCGAAACCTCACCGCACGCGCTGCGATGTGCGCATCGTGTATAGCATCTGTAGTGCCCGTCGGTGGGTTCGGGGGTGGGGGCTCGGGGTGGCACCTTCTCGCGCTCTCTCTCTCTCTGTCTCTCTGTGCCGCCCCCCGCGCGCCTGTTGTATGTATATATATATATATATTATATAGAATGTACCTTGAACCCTGGTCTTTAGTCCCAGGGTGTTTTTGATGGACAGGAAGACCTTGTTCTAAGTGACTAAAGTGAGAAAACAACCATTTATGTCTTTCGTTCATTCATCGTCCGATATAAAGATAAGAAATGTATGTATGTACAGACAGGGCACGACAGACAAACACAGACGGCCAGACAGACACGACAGAAACACACGTATGCATCAGTCCGGCCAGACAGGCAGGCAAGCAGACACACCTACACAGGCAGGCAGACACACACACCTCGCTTGCTACGTACGTGACACACACATGCATCAAATCGACGGGCAGGCAGGCATCGCCACACACGCGCATCGATCCGGCCATCCCTCACGCACCGCCACACGCACGCATCTACGCACCAGTCCCTCCCTCCCGCTAAACACGTGAGCACGCATCTAACATGCGTCCGCACCCTATGCTGCACCCCATGCACACATCCATACCAGCCAGACGAGCAAGCTCACGTATTTTACAAAAACTTGTCACCGACATCGTTTGGTTCCCTGTTCGATTGACTTGGAAACTGCCACTCGTTCTCGATCTCACCAGCAGAAATACCACACTTTCACATACAACTGCCCCACAATCAGCCATCATACGACCGATGGCCCTCCCTGACACCGCACATAAATAAGATGATATCTTCCATTGCCTCCTCTTCCTCGTTCACAATTGTGTCCCCTCACTTCCTGAGTATTGCTTGATGCTCCGCCTTTGCGACGCACATACATGCTCCACGCAAACGACCCGACTCGACAAAGAACCGTCACTAAAGTGAAAAATGCAGACACGACGTGTGACCATGGGATTGGCAGCCTCCGTTGCCCACACGATTGTCAGCACCAAAATACGCACTTCCAGCAGGGCAAAGGCCACAATCCAGGTGTGTTGGGATAGTGATGGAGAGCCAACGACAAGCCAAGGATGACGAGGCCGACGACGACAATGCCGACGGGTCTTGGGTCACGAGACAACATTTCCAGCCCCACCGCTGCGTCACTGATGAAGTCAACGGCCATCCCTTCGACGGCCAGCAGCTTGTACAGACGAGTGAAGGTAAGGTAATCCATCCGAGCGGCAGAGGGATGGCTGTGCCTGCCGAGCCTTGGCTATGCGCTCGGCCAGCGGAGAGGGCCTCCAGGTTGCCCTGCGATCGACCTCGAGGTGCCTTTCGCCCGTCGGTTCGATCGATGCACGGACGACGCGCGTCTGACGATAAAAAAGATGATGAACTGCAGAAGAGCCGCACCAGCCACTAACGTCAATGCGCCAAAGCGGGGACGCGACTCAATACAAAAAAGAAGTGGATATGCAGAACACGACGATGCTGAGAATGCCACACCAAAGCGGTAGGCGGCGCGCAGAGACTCCCTGACCCAACGATGGCGGTCCAAGCACAGAAATTGCGTTGAATAATAAAAATGGCCCCATGGGGTCGTCCTTCACGTCAGCCGTGAAGAAGAGCAGTGTGTTGAAACCTTCAAGTCCTACTGGGCCATAGATTAAGACACCGCCGACCCCCAGTAGAGCACATCGAGCAGGACCAGGCCGAAGATGACAGAGAAATGCCTCACAGGGTAATCCGTCAGCCAAACGGTCATATAGCCAATCCGCAGCACCAGAAAGCCCCACTGCAGGAGCGGCAGTCCGCCCTCCACTGCAGGAGCGGAAACCGGTATCGACGCGGCGGTGAAGATATCTGAGAGCGGAGTGCTTCCTTTGCCATCTCCTTCAGCCTCCGTTGATTCCTTCTTGTCGAGACATCCACCTCAGATGATGATTGTCTGAGGACGTCTTGGGGATCAGCTGTGGCAGGAGGAGCGGCTTTGAGGAACGTGGGCTTCTTCATCGTACGCGTAACTACTCCTATACAAGGGATGAGGGACATAACCCCAAGCTGTGGTGCCAAGTGTAACTGAATTGAATTCAGTTAGTTTTCAATTGAGCACTTGTCCGTCCGCACATGTACGCATCTACGCATTGTCCCTGTGTGTTCCCTCCCGCTGTGCACATCCCCTCCCGCTATGCATTCTACACACCACATTAACAAAGGGATTGAACTCATACGTCTGAACACCCACAGACATCCGCTCTTCTATCTTGGTCTGAACGGACTTGTCGCTTCTGCCTGCTTGCTCTGTTTGCGCTTCGCGACTCGTCTTAATCCCTGGTCCAAAGGATGGCGCACCCTTGAAATCACCCTGTGGTCAGTACGCAGACATATAATATATGTATGTCTTTCATTCATTCAGTTGACCATCGTCCATCAGATCGTCCGATATGAAGACAAGAAATGTATGTATGTACAGACAGGGCACGACAGACACACACACACAGACAGCCAGACCGACACGACAAGACACATACGCACGCATCTACGCATCAGACCGCCCCTCCCTTACGCATTAGGCAGACACAGACAAACACACGTATCTACGCATCAGACCACCCGCCTCCCTCCCTCACGCATCGCTCTGTCTATCCCTTCCCTATACACAGGCAGGCAGGCACCGCCACACGCACTCATGTACGCAACATGCATCTATTCACGCAATTGCGGCCTGGGCAACACCCCCTTGGCTACTTGCAGCGACATGTGAAACCGAGGGGTAGCCAAGGGAAACCTTGCCGGACTCGCCGCTTTGGTCTCTGCAGGGTGTCCTGCAGTGCTGCTAGCCTCGTCCGAATGAATGCCTTGTGTGTGTTCGTTCATGAGGACGCTCGAATGAACGAATGAATGAATGAATGAACTAACGCATGCACTGACGTGGTTTCGGCCTGTTCACATGCGGCTTGCTTTCTGGCCAGACCGGGTCGAGCATTTAAAAGGGCGGAACATCACGACGGGTCAACCAGCGGGTCGAGCAGAATGAAGGCCGGCCGCCCACTGGATGGACACACCCGAGTCAGGACGCAACACGACACCTGGGTACAACCGAAATCTTGAGCCGGATGCGCCATGTGTGCTCGTGGAATGCCCATTCTTCGCCCTTTGCGTAACTTCTTATGAACGATGCTCGCCAACCTGAGCTTTTTCGTTTATTCATGATTGATGCAATCCATCTCCTGGTCACAAACGTGAACTCTAAAAAGAATGAACTCACAGAAGGGTACGCAAGAATGAAGTGCAGCGACGCTCAGCAGACGTAACATCATAGAACTTTCTAGGATGACGTGAATCCCTCTTTTCCTCTCATCTCTTCCTTCATGTTCGTTACCTTTCATGTTCATTACCTTGGATGTCACCAGGGGACGTGAATCCTACGTCATCCAAAGGTCAGCCCATTGCGGCGCGAACCTGTGGTGGTCGCAGTGCGGCCCTTTTCAGGGCCTCATGGGAGTTCTTGCAATCAAGACGCGGCCCAGAACAGGAAGACTCGACCTTGGCGTCATAAGATCTGGGAATCAGCGACGAGAGGAAGACAAGAGAGGCCCGGAGGTTATTGTGATGCTGTATGAATGCACTGCTTACCGTACGAATTGTACGCATTCTTCATCCGACTGGAAGTTGAGCAGGCGGGTGAGGACGTCAATCCTAATCAGCTTGAAGGATCTGCAATACACGTGGATACACAAATAATCCACTTGCTCAGCCTCTTATCGGGCCCCTACTTGGTGAGGAATGTCAGTGCCTTCAGTCTGCGCGAGGGAGCAAATATCGCCAACAAATCGGGCACATCGTAGGGAGCCTGGTCGGCCCATTACATAACATACATCCAGACATGAGGAGAGTGCTCACCCATCCATCTGTAGTGCCTTGTGCTCACATTTCTGGCCAATTTAAAGTACTTCACAAAGTTGCCCGCGTCTGACTTCATGTACTTTAGAGTTGACACCATCGATCGAGCAAACTTGATGCCATCGTCATCGTAATACTCACCCGGAATAGAAGCTAGACCCAATACGCACAAAATTAGGCCAAACCCTAGGAGCAGCGCTTGCTTACCGAGCATCTTGACCAGCGGAACGTCATGTTCCATGTGCGCCAGATACAACAACAAATAGCAGCAGAACTCAGCCTAACCACAAAGAAGGGGTACCAAAAACACCAACTGTCAGTCAGCAGACGCTCAGCACTACGAGGCGAGTGAGCTATGTGTTTGCCTCTTTACTGGGTGGGAGTTGGACTGGTTGATATTCCTCTTCGTGTACAGCTGACTCAGTTGCGTCTGGCATTGATTGAATTGTCCCAAATCACCATTCTTGAGACACAGTCGAGCATGAGTCTCGTACAGCTGAGGAAGTCGTGGAATTCACATATAGTGAAGCTCATGTAACGCACGACATTTATGCATACATACACTTACACATATTGCGAATGGTGATTCGATGCCCTGAACCTTCAGGTCCTGACGCTGTGCTCTAGAAAGACACACAGACGCGCGCGCACCCAACCAACGATCCTTTCCACTCATACGCATTCACCTGTCGCAGCGCACCTGAGTTGGTCATTCAATTTGTGCCAGTCGTTCTTGTACTTCTCGAGCACGTGAGGCAGTGCCGTCTCCAGAACGCTCTGAGGGCGGACATTCTGGGGCTCAGGGGCACCTGTCAAGCGCAAATAGGGCTTCTCGACCGCCTGGCTGCTACCCTGAGAGGACACATATAAGCCATCTTCTGGCTATCGATCGACATGCATACCTTGCACTTGAGTATTTGCGTCATGATTTTGAAATGCTCCCCTTGCTTCAGGTCCTTGCCCTGCTGTGCAATGATCTCCCCTGCTATCTTGCCATAGCGGTCACGCTGCTCCCAGGTGGGAGCCAGATTCAAGACATTCGGTGCATCGCTCTGAAGACGCACAAACACCCACAACGTCAAATGCAGGTAGAAAGCGCGTTGGTCCTCATTCGGTCTCACTTTATCTTTGTGCTGTGCGTCTTGGTCTTCTGCGAATCGACGTGCCCGTTCGTGACGTCGCTTCCCCTCCTCGCCAGTCAGCGGTCGACCATGTTCCTTAGCATGGATGACTCCACGCCACTGCATCAAAGGAAGGAGAACCAAACAATCACGGTGTGACTGAAGGATACGAAAGACAAGTGTGTTCTTTCACTGTTGTTACCACGTGTGCGTAAACGCCCTTGTGTTTGGTCTTTTTCGGCTTGCTTTTGGGTGTGATTCGGGCCATTGGGGCACTCTCATCGTCTCCGTCAGAAGCCTCACCCCTGCAGGAAGGAGAGCAGATAGATAGATCTGATGCGTGGGCTCCCCTGTACCCACCTTATGTTATTCGCTCGCCATGGTACTTTCGCGCCAGCCCTCGGCAACGGGATAAAATCAGCAGCATACTCCTTGTGCTGGGCCCGCCGCTTCATCACCAGTGGAGGGCGGTCATCTCGGGAAGGGCTCCCGTTCGAGGAGAGGGACACAGGACTGTACTCGTCGTCCCTGCATCACATACATCCTCATCGTATGGTGGGTGATGACATGTTCTCTTGCCTTTACTTTCTCACCCGGGTCGCGACTTTTTTCTGCCACTTTTCCCCCCTTCCTCCGAGGTCTCCGACAGCGATCGACTGCGAGGGGACCGAGAGCGCGACGCTTTCCCTGAGCCACCCTTACCTGGTACGATGTCGTCACCGCCATGCTGCACATGCACGCCGGGAGTGGGTTTGTTCATGACTTGCTTGCGATGTCTGTCTAGCTCTCCCCAGTCGTCCTCTGAACTGCGCCTCCCGAGCTGCACCTTCTCCATCTCTGACAGCGGAGGAAAGGGGATGACGGACCAGTCGAGTGATGTCAACTCCCCAAGTGACTTCCTGCCCAACCGGGAGCAAAGAAAGAAATCGCTCGTAGTAGTGACTGGCACAGGCGCACATTTGTTTCTCCTACCAGTATTCCTCCTTTGGTTTCAGCCAGTAGTCGAGTTTATTCTGCATTTGCCTGCGCTTCACACCCGCATACGCCTCATCCACACTCTGCACGCACAGACATGCAAGGAGCAAAGTCAACAAGAACTGGCCAAACACAATCTTACGTGGACTCTTGCTTTCTGACCTTTTTGAATCGAGCCTTCCACTCGTTGAACATGGCCTCTGGATCCATGACTTGGCCACCCGTCTGTGCCGTATCACCGCTGCCCACGTTATCACCCCTTTTCCCTCCCTGTACTCCCCTCTGATCGAATCGCCGCTTCTTGGGCAGATTGCCGGGGTGGGAAGGGGAGGAAGGGGAAGCAGAAATGGGATGATCCACGGTTTTGCTACTCGACCTGATGGCACTTGCACTTCTCTTGGGTGGCTGAGTAGCCCATGTGTGTTGCGGGGGCTGGCAAGAAGGCTGCTGCTCTGCCGCCTGCCCCCCATGCAGCTTGTATTCTTGACAGAGGTTGTCGCTGACGCCTTGGAGGGTCGCCGATCCCCGGCGAATTTCGACAAGCACCTGGTTAGACCATGTCGTCCCGACGCTCCGCCACTGTCGCTCTGCTGCAAGTCCACAAGGATATTTGCCCTTCAGCCGCTGAATGAACACCGACATGCGGACGTACCACTCTCTCCACCTCTGATCGTCGACCAAAGGCTGAGGTGGAGGCTCCCAGTGCTTCGGAAACTCCTCGAAGTGAGGCGCGGGAGCGACTTGCGCTTGATGGAAGAGGAAAGGCAGCATCTGGGAATCCCCCACACCCTGGTTGGTTGGTTGGTTGGTAGTTGTGTTTAACGAGCCTCGTGGCTAACCTCGAGTCTTTTCTCCGAGTCCGATTCATGCCCTGCAGATCCCAAGGCAGGGAGGGGTAGACAGGCCGTGTGCATGCTTTGCATGTACATGCTGCTAGTTTAGTGCGTGAGACAACAGGATCCCTCCGGGGTTACAGACACGAGTCTCGTTAAACACACTAACCAACCAACCAAGGCAGATCTGAGGGCGTCCTCAGCCTTGTTTCCTTTTGGCTGAGGATGCCATCGGCCTCCCCTCCCTCTGGGGGTCGTGTTGGTGCTCGTCCGGTCCTCGTCCGTACCCATTTGGCTGTAGTTGGCGTCTCCGACCTTTCCTCATGATGCTGTCTGCCGCAGCTGTCATCATATCGCTCGGCCTTATCGGCTCAGAGTCTTCCTCTGGCGTCCTTCTCGCACCCCCAGTACGCTCTCCCACATCCCCCGAGCCTCAATTGGGTCTTCATTGTGAAGATCTGCTTGACGACGCCGTCTCAGCGGACCAACGTGACGAGAACTGCGCCTGCTTCTGCTTGGGACATGCGGCTTCCCTCCCGTCCCCGGTCGTCAGAGTGTGCCGAACCGGCGGTGTTGGCGTGGTGAAGCTGCAATGGTGTTTGCGTGGGGATGGGAGGGCATCTGCTTCATTGCATGATTCGTTTATTGCACTGGCACCGTGGTCTATGATGTGCTCTGTGTGTGTGGGGGGGGGAGGCTGTCTGTCATGTCTTGTCATTTGGATGGTCTCTCTGCCTGAGGTAGCCTATCACGTGTCGTTGCCCGCCATGTCTTTTCTTTTGCGTGTGCATGGTTCCGCGTGTGGTTATACTTCGGCGTGCCTCTATGCATTGAGACCAGACTCCTGTCATTCATGGTACTGCCTCCTGTCTGTCTGTGGGACCCTTCTTGCTTCTGTCTGTCTAGCTTGCTTCCCCTGCCTTCCCCCTGCCTTTCATGTCCTCGTGCTCATCTTCTTCGTTCGAGTGCTTGGTGGTAGGGGTGAAGCGGCTGGTGATGTCTTGTCATTGGTGTGGTCTCTTCTGTGCGGTAGCCTATCACGTGTGGTCGCTGCGCCACCATGCCTTTTCTTTTGTGTGTGTATGCATAATGCCACGCGTGTGGTTAGACTTCGGCGTGCCTCTGTGTTGCGACCATACTCATGCCATTTCAGCCAGTGCCGCATGACTGTCTGTGTGTTCATTACCGCGGCGGGGCTCTCCCCTCTAGCTGCCTTCTGTCTTCCTCTGCCAGCCCAGCAGCCCAGCCAGGACTCCCTGTGCATGTGCCTGCCAAGTGCCCATCGACTTAGATCACACCGTACTGCATCACAGTTAGTGCCCGCCCATAGCTCACTACCGTACAGATAGACGGGAGCAACCGTGGCGTCACACTTAGTGTTGTGTTCAGGGATGGAGCGCACCTTAGGTATCGTCTATCACATGTTGCAGGCCTCGTTGCAGGCCTCATTGCAGGCCTCATAGCCTTCCTGGCTATTTCCTTCCCTTTCCCTTTGCTGTCTTCCTGTCTTCCTTCCGTATGGGTCCCGTGTGTCTCTGGTGGTGTATTCATGTAATTGGCTGATTGTTGCTTTGGTGGCTCAGAGGGCGCTCATTTTTCTACTTCCCCCTTCTGGCTTCTGTACACTTGCCATGGCTCTTGCTGGGCGACAGCGCCCGTTCTTGTGTATGTAGCCAGAATCGGTGTTTGTCAACGTTCTACAAGGCAGCCAGTGCTCTCTGTTGCCATCTGTTTGTCCGCCGGTGCCAGTGCAGGGAGGGCTAGACAGGCCGTGTGCATGCTTATGCATGTACATGCTGCTAGTTTAGTGCGTAAGGCGACAGGATCCCTCCGGGGTTACAGAGACGAGTCTCGTTAAACACAATAACCAACCAACCATATACGCTGGCCACACACGATCACACTCCGATCGAGGAGAAACGTTCGTTCGTTCGTTAACCTCACGGAGACCTTGCCCCCCGGCCCCCCGAAGGGGCACGCAAGAACGAGTCTGTGTGGTGCAGGCTGTCTACCCACCCATCCCTATGGTCCACCACAAAAAAAAAGGCACTGGCGCCGGCCGACATACAGATGACAACAGAGGGCACAGGTGACGAACACTTCCCCTGGCTACATACACAAGAACGAGCGATATCGCCCGACAGCATGAAGCCCTAGAAACGCATGGGGTTTCTCATGCTGTTGAGGGTTTGTTCACATACGGCACTTCTGTTTGTCTCAACCTTCCCCCTCCCCCCCATCATAATCGTAAGCGTGGCAGGTCTGCAAAAAGCAGCTGCCACTTGGGACGTGCGCGACACCAAAGTAAATAAGGCAGTCATAGGGCGTGGCAGGTAGGAAAAGGCGATTGGAAGGGAGGCATGAAGAGAAGCATGAAGGGAGACAGACTGGGATAGAGGGAGGGACGGCCAAGAAAGACACAATATACATGAATGCTACACCACCGGTATCCCACCGCTAGTGGTGCGACACAAGCAAAGGGCGAGGAGCGCTGTATAGCCGGGATCAGAGATATCGCACAAGTGTAGCACTGCAAGACGCCGAAAGATGGTTAATCAACCGAGATGACGGAAGAGTCTGGTCCAGTTAGACAAACGGCACGCGCCAGCCTAAGCTCGCACTAGGTTTCACTGCATGTCCTAGAGGGCAGGGCTGAGGGTCATGCGTGCTCAACAGGACCGTAGGTAGCGCGACTCGCACGTGCACGTGAGAGCACGCCTCTCGCGGCACAATCGACGGCCGCGGCCGCCGAAGGCGGCCGTCCAAACCATCGGCACCTCTCACTTCTCCACTCCATAGTAAAACTGACGTGCCGACAACGATGCTGACGAGAATTGGCATCTTCTATTTCGTTCATGCTTTATCGGCAATTCAGCCGGGTACGGCCTTCGCTGACGTCTGGTCGGTGTCAGGTCGTCATCTTGCTTTCCACACGCCAGCTTTTTCAAATCGTGTGCATTTGTTGAGACGTAGAGGACTGCAAATACTTCAGTCAGGTAGGAAGAGCCCGGGGGCAGAGCGAGCATGCCGCTTTCATTCTGTTGCCCTCAGCTGATGGCGCTAGTCCAACCACAAGCACTTCACCTTGTGCAAGCGATCCCGTCAGTGCTGCTGTCCACGATGGCCGTTCCCTCCCAATCCCCCGGAAGGGCACACCCGCTTTTGTCTCTTGTAAGGCCGTCGGTGTCGGATATGCTGTACCCACTGCCGAGCTCACCAATGCCGACCTGGAAAAGGTCGTGGAGACCACGGATGAAGTAAGCCAACCACGGATCGAGTTACTGCTCACCAATTGATGACATGTGAGGCTGCAGTGGATTCAGACGAGAACAGGCATAAAGAAGAGGCGGATACTCAACGGAGAGTCGTCCCTGCAAGTGAGCGCATGCCATGTCGATCTGGTGACAATCTGTACTGGCACTCGTTGTAGGATCTGGCCGCATCTGCTTCTCGTGACGCACTGTCCATGTGTGGACTGAAAGCCAAGGATGTCGATCTCGTCATATTGGCCACATCGTCACCCGATGATTTGTTTGGAGACGCTACTTATGTGGCCAATGCCATCGGCGCGTGCGGTGCCGGTAAAAAAACGAGAGCTTGGATGAGGAGCGTTTGAAGAGTCTTCCTGTGCTCCATGCAGTTGCGTTTGACTTGACGGCAGCCTGCTCTGGATTTCTCTTCGGCATGGTGACAGGTCAGGTACACGGGCACAGCATCAAAAGGTCCTTCCGCTTCGTCCCTTGTGTTGCTTACCTTCAGCGAGTCAGTTCATTCAGACGGGAGTGTATCGCAACGTGTTGCTGATCGGTGCTGACGCTTTATCGAGATGGGTTGACTGGTCGGACAGGAACACCTGTATTCTATTCGGAGATGGGGCGGGAGCCGCTGTTCTGCAGGTCAATAACTACACCCACAACGTCGAACAGCGAAAAGGCGCCTTCACGTGCGATGTGTCAGGCTGCCTCACCAACTGACCAGGCTGGAATCCTTGGCTTCTCAATGAAGAGGTGAGAGGCCTGAGTCGTCACCTCTTGATTCAGAATTTGTAACATTTGTCTGACCAGTGATGGCAGACGGCGTGAACAGCTGACCCTGGCATACGGAGGGAGCGATCACGTATTGAACACGTCAGAGTTCGGTGACCATCATGTCGTGACAAGGGGGTCTTACAAACCGATATACATGAATGGGAGGTAATGAATGTGGGAAGACCGCACTTGTCACACATTCAAATGTTGGCTACCTCCATGGTAGAGAGGTCTTCAAATTTGCCACCCGAGAGGTCCCTACAGCGATCCAGGAGGCCCTGGACCATGCAGGCATTACGATCGAGCAGGTGGATTGGCTGCTACTGCACCAAGTGAGCGAAACAGAAGCCAATGCACACAAAACGTCCGCAAAGGTAGATGTGCGCTTGACGTTGCTCTTCGAGGCGAATATCCGGATCATGGACTCAGTGGCTGATCGATTGGGGCTGTCCAGAGACAAGGTGAAGTACTGCTAATGAGAGACCGTGCCAAGGACGACTGTGTTGTGGCTGTCAGGTTCTGGCGAATTTGGAAAAGTACGGCAACACCTCTGCCGCATCAATTCCTATCGCCCTCGCAGAAGCTGTAGGCAGAACGCAAGACGTCGGGACATCATCAGTTGTTGCTTCTCCTCAGATATCAGGTGGTCGTGTAAAGAAAGGCGACATCATAGCGATGGCGGGTTTTGGCGCAGGGCTCTCCTGGGGGGCTGCTATTGTCAGATGGTAACCTAGTGTCTGTCAAGCTAAGAGTACACAGAATTTGCTGAGTCAAGGCGTGATCTACGAAGCTGGAGCAGATCATTTGCGTGAATCAATTTTGTTCCCAACTGCCGTTCTGTCGCCGACAGTTGGCGGCACCTTGCTTGGCTAGATATGCACGATGGACTTCTGCGTCGCGTTCCTTGCTTGAATGCCCGATTCGGCAGGGGTTGATCCTTCTGAGAAAAGTGTGGCAACTCACCTACCCGCCCGATATTTGACCTCCCACCCTTATGTAAATAGTGGATCGATGCAGGATCGACATCCCTGGTGATAGCAAGCACGTCGGCTCACTAAGGTTTCCTTGGCTACCCCTGGGTTTCACATGCCCCGTATCTAGAAGCGCGGGGGAAAAGCGCCCGGTCCAACTTCTATACCGCTGGGCGGCGGTATGCGCAGTCGGGTATGTGTGTCAGGTTCATGTTCATGGGATGCGTGCGCGTGTCACTGTCAGACGGTGATCTGCGAGCAACCGATATGAGCACGGTCCACCGTGCGTTATTGGGCGTTCGGAGACGCTAGGCCGCGGGCCGATGCATGTCCCAGGTAGCAAAAGGAGCCAACTATGCAAGCAAATGAGCAACGCTCACTGACTGCAAACATATGCATGTCGCTCACTACACGGACACAAACAAGCGCAAGACATAAACACAACATCCAGATCCAGCCAGCCGCCTCACAGCCCCGGAGCGGGGCTGGTGTGTGGCCTATACGGCCGCGGCTGACGAAGTCCTCGGGAAACGCACTGGCCCTCCGTGGCTGTGCACGACTCGCCACTTGGAACGCGTTGTGCTTCATCAGCTCGACGGACAGAAGCTGGCTCCAATGGTTGATGACGCTCTCTTGGAAAAATTCGCTTTCTTCGCAAACGGACTTTTTCTCAACGTGAATCGGACTTTTGTGCGACGTGATCGAACTCATGAATGAATGGCTTCGAAGAGGTACATGCATTCACGCAACACATGAAGGAGCCAGTCGAAAAAATCCATCATGTCATTCATCGTCCACACAGTCATCCCACAGTCCGTCTGCAACCCTGCCCGCACAATGTCATGGCGTCCTTGCAGCAGGTGAGCTGGCGACGCCACAACGTCACCTGCTGCAAGACGGGCCGCGTTATCACTTGGTCACCTGAATACAAACGCCTAGGCCTTGAATGAGACACGCAATAAGCAACCGAGACACGATGATAATGGGCGAGGGAGGTGTGGTGTGCTCCTCCCTAATGCCTCTCGCTGCTTCTCGATCACTCACTCATACATAGACATGCGTATACAGGTGACTGCTTTACTGCACAAGGGAGGGTCGACTCACCTGCTTGACGGGCCGTGACAGGCCGAGCGAAGAATGCGTGCAATACATGTGCAGACACACACAGTCGTGCATATGGAAACACATGCATCCACACCAACCGACCAGCGGAAAACTGAGGCGCATACAAATGATCTGCCAGCAGCAGCGGCCATACAACGACATGGCAGAGGAAGGAAACCGTACTGCTCGACGCCCAGAGCGAGAAGCAGATACAGTCAGACAGAGCGGCCGAGGCAGACACTGGCATCCGCACCGACACACATGGATATGTAGATGTTTGACCGACAGCCGCAAGCCCGTGAGGGGCGGCCCACGAGCATGGATGAAAGAACATCAAGTGTCGCCATGCGTGAAGGCGGCAGCACGGCGAACGCAAAGGGGATACACAGGCGAACCATAGCCAAGGCACTATATAGACACAGATGCCATTGTGAGCGGCGATACAATGACATGGGAAAAGGCCGTCAGGCAGACGGCACGAACAGAGAGGAAAGCCAGGCGTGCGGCAGGCGATGCAGATCGATAGGACATGAAGGATACCAGAGAGTGAGGAAAGACACACAGATAGCAGGGGGCCAAGCACGCAAGCCGAGGAAAGGGCTGGTCGGCCGGCGGCCCGAGGGACGAGGCAGCGACTAGGCGCGACCAAACGTGAATGTGGCAAGCATCCTGAGTACATGGCCAAGCAAGGTGGACGAATGCACGCATACGAGAAATTCAGACACAGGACCAGCACGAGCGGCCATACAACTATAGTCAAAGGCTCGCGGACAGCGAGAGAGGCAGAAGTGCGATGGCCAGCCAGCGATGAATGCACACACGCCGCGTGCATGCCGGCAGGTAAGCCGGACATCTATGAATATGGATAGCACAAGCTATGAATGAGTATATTGTGCTGCGACAAAAGCGTGATCTACGTGACGGCAGCTTTGCCTGAATCAATGTTGCGTCAACCTTTGACACGTGAAAAAGTTAATGCTGGTCAACAGTACAGACGCGCCGCAGAATATATACGATTGCAGCTGACTCTCTCATACATCTGGCAGTGGCGGTGTATGCCCCTTGAGCTTTCTTCTGATTAGCTGTCTTCTGATGTATGGGACATTCGTCACTGAGGCGGATGATGATGAATGTGTCAATAGCGGGCTACTGGTCCGCATGCGTTGTATTTCTAGTGTTGTCTCAATGACAGAAATGTCTCACATAACACGAGAACGGCAGACACGAAACACACCTGAAGGAATATGACAGCAGAAATCAACAACAGGGAGTATAAACCTTGCGCGGACTTACCAAGGTGAAGAGGAGCAGGAAACCGATGACGAAGCACCTGACTGGTCGAGAATGCGAATCAGCAAGGACACAATAATAGATCACTGCAGGGAAGGTCACTACGAAGAGCGTATCGAACGTGCCTCCTATCAGGGCTATCAAATTGGCAACATCAGGCCAATAAAGTGCCACCAACCTGTTTAAGAAAAGAATCACACTTGGCTCCTAAAACGTGAGCCCACTCTGCGCCTACACGTTTGTGGTAAGAATGACTGCCACCACGCCGACACGGAAAGGAAGCCCTCCCACTTTGAGGACTCCATTCCTTTTCGCCTTGCCTGGCTCTGCTGATCCCCCAACTGCGGGGGGAACTTGAGCGTCTTTCTCCCCACGCTGAGCATATCGCCGGGTCCTCCCTGACTCGGGATCATCGTCTCTACGACCCTCGCAAAAGGACGAAGAAGTCTCGTCAGCTGTGCCATACGATGACGCTTGAACGTCGCTGCCGGTCCCTGCTGGGAGAAGCCGATCGTGTGTCCGCTTGTCGTCAGACCTGCCAACAAGAAGTTTGCAACAATTCATAGTCGCCAGAATGCCCACCTCGTGGTATTCCACTGGGCGAGTGCCGTAAGCGAGGAAAGCATTGGATGCACCATCAGCTGAGGGAAGCAAGACAACAGTTCTGTCCTTGGTGTTTTTTCTCTTACCGGCACCATGCACACCATCGTCGCAGTAAGTAAAACCCTGCCCAGAAAGACCATTTTTAGCACTTCATTTGCGCAACCGGGCTGATCTTCTGACCTTGACACAATAACCAGCGGATCTTCCGGTGGATAGTTCGCAAGGAAGTCCTCTTGCAAGTCGTCCAGCCAAGATAGATATCCGCATGAAGCCAACAATGAGAAGAAAACCACCAAGAAGATCGACGATGTGGTGGTCAAAGCGAGCATGCGATCTGCCAAGAGAGGAAGAATCAGCTGCGTGACGCTTGAGTCAGTGTGCCTCACTTGTAGTTGGATTCTTCAGCTCACGTGCCGCGGGCACAATGTTGAAGTGGCTGAAGTGACCAACACGGCAGGAAAAGGCCGTCTTGTCTTGCCACATCTGTGCACGGCTTACCAGAAGAAGGCAAAAACCCCAATGCTGGCCGTCTTTAGGCAGTCAGGTGACAAGACCATCCATTGAATCGAATGTTCTCCTGCCTCGCCGTTTCCGCCTATACCAGATGCCTGTCCGGTTCTCTGACGATAGAGTGATGGCGTTTTTGTGACCACCACAACTGTGGTCCAGAAGAGGCCCACAAGCGATACAGTAGACGTATACCGCAGGTACGAAAGCTTAGAGGGCAGGCACAGACTGGAAGAACAATAAGAGTGGGCTCGCTGAGTCAGTCCACGTCCTTTTGACACTCTTACGGGGCAATGATGACGAGTGACAGTAAGACGAGGTTGCTCTTCTCCTTCAACCACCTACAATCACACGAACTCGCCACTGAACCCCATCCTTCGCCCGATCATCCTTACGCGGGGACATCGAAGAGCATGAGGAGCTCGCTCGAGAAGTCCCCCAGGAAGATGAAGTAGCACGATATGGACACCAATGTCTCGAAAAAGATGAGGAAGTCTATTAGCGGGCCTGCCAAGGGGCCAATGCACCACGCCAATAGATCCGCATACGAGCGACTCCTCGTTTTGCAGGCTGCCATCATGAGAATGTTGAGTGAGATGTTGGCCACCAGAGCCGCGCACACGACAAGTATCAATCCAAGGCCGAGTCCTGACTCCTTGATGGCCCAAGGGAGCGTGAGGACGCCGGTTCCAATTGCACTGGCCGTCACAACATTGAAACATGCCAGCAGAGATCCAGGAGGGATCAAACGTTCGAGAGGAGATCCGCCGTTCGACATCAATGTCGCACGGCGCTCGGCAGCAACGTCAAGCAAAAGCAGCAGCAGCGTTCACGGAATGTCAAAGGGTGGCTCTAAAGCCTGCGGCAGCGGCTTCAGGAAAGTACCCTAGGCGGCCTGACGGCCTGATCAACCCCACTAATGAATGCTGTGAGAGGTCGATCTCCGCAAAAGGAAGAACCTCGCGCTCCAGCAAACGAAATTCATATCCGCGAATCGGGCTGACACCTCAGCACGGTCGTCGTTCTTGAGGAAATGATGTGTCGGCCCGCAGATGGATAACCTCGGCTATAGCCTGATTGGTTTCTCAACAGTCGTCTTTCCGGAGGGCGTGCGGTTAGACAAAACGGTCGATCACGGTCGAACTGACGAAACAGAAGGTCACCTCACACCAGTGCTGTTGCTGGCACCCCCACTACTCACCCAACGCGTTAAAGCCTCGCGACTGCTCCGGCAGATGAGGAAGCTCAGCAGCTCGCACGACGCACGTCTAGGGTATGACGTGAAACCGCTGCAGCTGGAGCCGGCTCTTGGACATAGCGCAAAGTCCTTCCCAGCTTGTCAAGTGTTTGTCACAAGCGACAGCGCATCAGCATAGAGTCAGAAGAAGGCATGAGGGTGGTCGGCGGCGACGGAGGGCCTGCAAGAACACGAACAAACACATGAGGAAGGAGGCAATTGATGCATGTTGCTGGAATGGTACGTATGTGTGTGCATGTGTTGTGCAGATGAAGATGGAGGTCCACCTCCATATGTCAAGGTCCCTGTCCGTCATTCTTGTCGTGTGCGACGATCACTCCAGCACAATTTCCAGCACACGTTGTTGGTGTCGGTTTGTACATGACAGGTTCTCACATCACATGCAGTGACAGTAACACACAACTCTGGAACAGTGTTCGTCCATGGCTGTCTGATGCTGTGGCTTTCAAGCTTTGTGTAGGGTGAGAGGAAGTATATCACAAAATACATCTGATCTTGATGCGACGTGGACATCTCGCATCGTGTTTGTCTATGTGGATCTGTGTCACGAGTTCCGCCTATCCCTCCGACAAGGTGCGTACGAACAGGAAGGAAGAGCAGACAGACAGGAGGACGTTGACACGGAGTGAATGGATGTGTATCGACCGTCTGCCGCACACACAACCGATCCGTATGTGGGTGTTCCCGCAACCCAGTGACCACCGCCTCCGCGTGTGTGCGCAGCCGACGTTTGTGTCCATTGTATGTGAGCACAAAGTGTTTGTTCTGCTCGTGCCCATGTGTATTTCGATGGATGTGTTGCGTGTCCGTCGATGGGTGCGTACGACTGCCTGCCTGCCTGCCTGGATGGATGGATGGATGTGTGTATGGATGGGTATGGGAGGAGAAGTGAGCCCTCACATGACATGAGTGATGCTGTCTGTAGCCATTAATGGTGCAGCGTGTCATTGGAGCAGTCGAAGTGCTGCAAGCTAAGACGTATTGACTGTGTGACGTATGACTGTGTGTCCCTGCCTGTGTGCATGTCTATGGATATGTTTCAATCCATTAGTGTGGGTATATCATTAGGTTCAATCTGCATGTCTTTGTGTTTTTATTGTGTCTGATGCTGTGGCTTCGTAAGACACACATGACACATACATCCTTCACAAACATACTTCACACGCATACTTCATGCACTCTCGGACTGACCGCGTGTCTCGCTCGCCTGCCTGTCTGCATGAGTGTAATCCTAGCGACTTCCTCCCTGCACTTGACACGCCACAGAATTCACTGAGCTGCTCCTTTTTCATGCATTGCGGACCTGACCACATGAGATGAAGCGATGTTCCCTCTCGACGGCCACTGGAGCCACTCATGCCACTCACACCATCGTACTGCCACTGCAAGTACCCCTGCCGCCTTCCCCACCCGATTCGCGGCTCTAAGGGCACCCGCTTGAGGGGGCCCTTTACTTTGAATAGACAGATGCAGCGTGAGGTCTCGCGGTGTCTGCAATACCAGCGGAATCTGATCCAAGCTGGGACGGCCCTGCAGGGCCAGCCCTGTGGGGTGGATGCCCGCACTGCAGCGGTAGGGCCAGCCTTGCAATGAGACAGCCAGCCCTGTGCATGTAAGGCCAGCCCTACCGCCACAGGGCCAGCCCTGCAGACTCAAGGCCAGCCTTGTGAGTTCAAGATGTTCGGTTTGGCCGCATAGCCGCCCTCTCCATTGCAAGGTGAGCTGATGGCCGTCATGCAGCATTCCGGCTCACATACACACCCATCTCTGTGCTCCCGTGATTGCCTGGCAGGTGTGTTGATGTTCCGTTTGGCCGCATTGCCGCCCTCTGTATTGCAAGGTGAGCTGATGGCCATCACAAAGCGTTCCGGCTTACACACATATACTCATCTGTGTGCTCCGGTGTGCGGGTCTTCCCGCATTCATGCATGTATGCGCCATTGATCCATGCATCTATAGTATGTGAGCACAGAGCTTTTGTCCTGCCCATGCCAGAGAATGTTCCTCCCTGTTTGTCGTAAATGGACACATCAGCGGATGGGAATCAGTGAGTGCCTGAAGAGCGATAACGTTGAGAGAGGTTAGTTGATATGTGCAGCCGGTCAACAAGGCACGTTGATGTGGCTATGTTGAGCGGGTCAGCAAAGCATGGGTCCAATGCAAAGGTCTTTGCTTTGTACAGATCAGTTGTGAGCCAATAGGGACAGAACTGTAAGAGGTGCTTGCGTACTGTAAAGCTGTGCTGGAGCTGGCCAGGCGCTCCTCACTCTTACTTGTGTCGCACTACTAGCGGTGGGACAGTGGCGGTGTAGCATGTACCTGTCTCGAAAAGGGGTGAGATCCTTAACATTCATTATGACGCCTTTCATATTGGGTCTAACTTCTTTCATATTAGGGGGCTGCATCCAAGGGGGAAGAGGCTCCAAAAGATCAACTCCGTGAGTATCTGTGAGTCAATAATCACAGACAATAGGTAAGACACAACTGGATGTTTGATGGTTGCCCTGTTTGACTGAAGCTATCTGTTGTTTGCATGTTGCCATCAGTTGGCGTTGTTGGCGGTCTGCACATCCCTGTCTGTTTCATTGGATTCATTCATTCATTCATTTATTCACTCAGTGTGTTGTTGGCGCCGCTCCTCTCGAGAGGTCAGCAGCTTCTCTCCGTACCCTTCCGATTCCCTCACAGACAGGAGATAAACCGACAGGCACAACTTCTGTCTGTGAGGGGAGATGAAAACCCCTTTTCTAGTCGTGTTGGGGCTATGGATGGGGCTGGGGTGTTCTCGAATAAATGAATGAATGTCCGGAAGTCCTCGAGAGAGATTCCTGCAACGATAGCCTCCAGCTCCCAACCCGAATTCGTTCTCTCGCCGTCATAAGTCTCGACGATCTTCGTGTAAATCCGTCGCAAAAGGATGAACTCCCATGCGCTCGTGGTCTTTCTGTTCCTGTCTTTCGGTTTCGGCCTTCCAGGAGGACACCCACTTAGAAATGTGGATCTCCGTGCCTTCAGCGAAGCCATCGTTTCTCATTCGTTTGCTTTCGTCATGCTCCACAACCCTGAGCACCCACTGTCGAATAAGGTAACAAGGTGAGGAGGTCAACCAATGTTACAAACCCCTGCTTTTCGTTAGTTCATGCCATTGTTCGAAAAGACCGCGGAGCTGGCAAGTGGAAACAATTCTGCGACAGACGAGCCCCTGGATGTACACTTCGCAGTCATGGGTAAGATGCATACTGATCGAACGCAGGTACAAAGTCTTCAACTCGTGGTGCTTTGTACGCAGATGCCTCAAACCACACGGACGAACTCGCCATAAGGGTGCTGCTATGTGAATGCCTTGCTCCCTCATATTCTCTGATTCCTTGACACCATGCAGTTCTGGCCCACTCTCCGATTGTATCGTCACGGCCATGCCCTCACCTATGCTCAACAAACGAAGCGGGCAGAAGACATCTTGTCATGGCTCACCCAACACGTCACCAAGCCTCCGGCAGATATCATCTCCGAAAGACGAATCCTAGAGCAATTCATCGATTCGAACGATGTAAGTGTGGTGTGCTTCTTCGATCTCGATGGGGATGGGGAAGTGGAGAATACCAATGCATTTGACACCTCGGTACTATACAGCAGATTTTCCATCCCGAGGGATGAGGTAAGTACAGTCCAGATAGTGAACGAGGATTCACTGACAGTATGTGATACTTGCAGGCTACCACCGCCTTACCTGATGTACCGGAGATGCATCACTTTCTCAACGCTGCCCACATGTACAGAGACGGACTTCTGAAGGCAATTCCGTAAGCTCTCTAGTAGCAACCCACAGATAGGCCCGGCCCATTTGACGAAGTTCTGTGCATGCGGATATTTGGTGCAGATTCGTCGTTTACGTGGGTCCCGACGATGATCCCGTATGCTCACTGCAGTAGCTATAAAGAGGAAGGGTGTTCACAAACTCTGTCTGAGCAGAAAGGTCGACCTCGCGTCGAGTTGTATCGCAACGCGCGCTGGTGTCAGTACGAGGAGACCGTCACAGTTTTTCCAGTGACTGCAGACGGTGGGTAAATGGCTGATACATTCCAAATCCTTTTCACTGGTATTGGATCTGTGTCAACAGGATGCTCTGTCGCCCAGCCACAAGATAGCGGTCTGTCGGATAGCAATGACGTTCAGCAGTATTGTCAAAACGGTCTGAATGGGCGTCAAGAACAAGAATTTGACCACAGATTCCGCTGGCCATTTGCTGTACAGGATGGGATCATCTGACTGGATGGATTAGGGCCGCTTCGGTCCCTACGGTCTTGCCCTACGTTGACTTTTTCCAGGACGAAACCAAGCAACGCGGTTGATAAGTCCCTTCAAACACCACATACTGTACTGCATGTATTTGTCCAGGCGCTAAGGGCATTGTTGTTCTATTTGCGGATCGTTCTCAGTCCAGCCAAGGGCCTCACGTACAACAAGTGAGCGCAATGAGGAAAGGTCTTCATTTGTGCTTTTGATCGCACTTCCAATGTACCTCGGATACAGTTTACAGAGGCAGCGCGGATGTATCTCCAGAAGAAACAGAGGAAGAGACGTCAGCCTGAATTGGCATTCGTCGTAAGTCCATAGGTCTCAGACTCTCCGACTCTCACACTCATGTCCTGCTATGACATGTCCACTACAGATGGCCGGAGAGGGTTGTGGACTCGATGATATGTCAACGGTCGAAGACTCGACAAGTACCGACTCTCATACCAAGGACATGCAGAGGCAGCTCTTCCGCGACTTCGGCATTAGCGATGAAGACATGCCATTTATCGGTATCATCAGCCGATATCTTGCTGACCGATCTGAGCACAGCTCCTTTTTTTCCCCAGGTTTGCTCGAATATGGTTCGCCTGACTCGTTGCAGTACGTGTTCTGCAAGCGCTGCTCGCCAGGTGGAGCTTATCAGGGTGAGACTTCTTCGAAAGGTCACGCCGCCAGCTCGCTAGCCTTCTCATGGACTCCCGGTGAGCTGGTCGATTGGGTGTATAAGTGGCAAAAGGGACAACTCAAAGGAAATGGCAGAGAAGACTTCACCACCGTAGGAATAAACAGAGAGGAGTCAACACTGGCACCTATCTGTGCACTCTTTTCCCAGCTTTTGACGAACACTAATTTCACCAAAACGGCCTATTCGCAGGAAAAGGACGTCCTAGTACTCTTCACATCTATCGGTAGGCTTTCCTATATCTCCGTGCACACGAATGGACACCTTCTTTCGAATGCCGAAAAGGTCATCCGAATTGTAAAGAGTGCGACAAGCTTATGCCCATTTACCGCGATGTATCCAAGCACTTCAAGGATCAGGTAGAAGAAAGTGGAGACGTCAGAAGACCTCACCTTCTTGTGTGTCAGATTTACTTGTCAGATCAGTTTGTCATGGGGTATTTTGACGCTATTCGCGAGCAGAACAAAGAATCTCAAAGCCACACGCTCATTCCTTTCTTTATGTTCTACCCGGCGTACAATAAAGACAACCCCATTGTGTATCAGGGCGATCGAACGGAGCAAGGGATTATCGCGTTCATCAACCGACACTCGCGAGCATTCAAGCGAGACGCCGAATGTCTGCTCCTGCATGAGTAGCCATGCTTAATGCATTAGCGAGCATGTGCATGATACAAATGTTGACGCTCAACCGTCATGGACAACTTGCTTTGTTGCTGTTTAAAAAATCTAGGCGAAATGTCACACATTGGGGGGAGGGGTGAATTCGTTCGTTTGGCTGTGTTTGCTTCGCTTTGGCGATTTTTTGGGGGCCGCGAAGAGAGCACTGGGCTTCGATGAGCGGGTCATGAGACACAACAATATGCGCAACTTGTTTGTTCGCCATCCTGGCTGAGGCAGATGTTCCCTCCAATGTGGAGGTGCCTGTGCAGAGCCTCGGCGTCAGCCCGCCCGACGACAACCCCAACAGCCAGCGCATACACATCTACTGTGTGATCGACGGCCATGACTACCTGCTCGATGTCGCCATCGCCCACCCCTGCAAGCCTGACGACTCCCCCAACCCCTCCCACCGAACACTCAACCGACGTAGCGCAAAACTTCCAAGTGGCAAGACGGCGCAACTTGCGGAGAAAGACAATATCGATCAGTATGGACCAACCACCCAAGCAGCTGGCTTCCGCTTTGTGCCTCTCGCTGCGGAGACATTCGGCAGGTGGGGAGAGAAGACGGTGGACTTTCTCAAGACGTTCGTCAAGCGGAAGCCCCGCTCTACCTCCATCCCCCCCTAGAGGACGGAGCTTTCCGAGAGAGCGTCATCAACCATTGGAGTCAGCTCCTGTCTACTCCTGTCCGTTGAGCTGATGAAGCACAACGCATTCCAAGTGGGCGAGTCGTGCGCAAGGTGCTGCGGCCGCCAGAGGGCCACGGAGGGCCAGTGCGTTTCCCGAGGACTTCGTCAGCCGCGGCCGTATAGGCCACACACCAGCCCCGCTCCGGGGCTGTGAGGCGGCTGGCTGGATCTGGATGTTGTGTTTTGTGTTTTGTGTGTTTATCGTGGTGCATGTCTCACGCTTGTTCGTGTCTGTGCAGTGCAACATGCATTTGTTTGCAGTCAATGAGCGTTGTTCATTGGCTTTGCATGGTTGTGTTCCCTCTTGCTTGCTTGATACGAACTGATGCTTAGACGAACTTCGTCGCCCGTTCTATGTGTTTATTTGAAAAAAGAGTCTGGGAAGCATAATCTCGGGGCGGCATGCGGGCGTCTCTCCCTCTCATGTTTTGTGCAGTGGGTGGCGAGGCAGCAGGAGATTGATCTCACCTCTCCACTTACCCAACGCGTCGGCGCACTAGGAGTGATGGAGCGACTTGAGAAGCTTCTGTTTTCCGGCATTTTACGCGTTTACCTTTGGCGTGTCGCATGGTGCGAACGCGTTCGAGAGCCACATTTGCCCCTCACCTGCACGGCTTTGTCTTGACTTCTTCTGATCGGCTAATTTCCTTCCCCTTTTCATTGAGAGCCACAGCTTGGAAGTACTGACACCTCTTACCTCCACCCGGCACATCAACCCAGTGTTCGAACTGCTGTTTCTTCACGTCGGCGAATGCCTCGGTCAATTTTTCTCCGAAACTTTTGCCTGTAACGATCCGCCAAATGTGGGTTTGAGTGTCGCCATTCCAGCTGAAGTGAAGCCGAAGGGCCTTAGCTGGACTGTTATCATCCAGGAGGGCTGTGGGTGACCACATGGGGGTCCCGGTCCAGGGAGCCTTGACGGTGCGGTACGTAAATGTGTGAGGAGTTGACCACTCCATCCGGATTAACTCTTCCCCATCGCTTGTTACCTCCATGTAGAACGGAATCCCTACTGCTCCGTTCTTGTTTTTTCTCAGACCCAGACAATACACACCGTTGCCATTCGGCATTCGCCTGTAGCTGCCCATCGCGAAAGAACGGATGCCGGTATCATATGCATTCACCAACCGTGCCTTGGTTGGACGACCGTCGGAATCGAACGACAATTGGTATTGGAGACCTCGAGCACTTCCGGAGCTCTTATCATTCCTCACTGAGTTATCGAACATAGTAATCTGAGATTCCTCGATCTCTCTCACGTCATGTTGCCCCACGAACTGGCCTCTTTTGTCGTTGAAGATCCTGAAACGAAATTCGGACTCGGATATCGGCACTGTGCTCCAATCACTTGCCATTACTTGAAGTCGCCATCCTTCCCTCCGAGACGCCACAGGACCTCGTCGATATCCCTGTAGTGCACACAGGGACACAAGCGATTATCCGGACGGCCCAGCTTTTCACACCTATGGATTTTTGCGACTTGATTCATTCTCCTCATCCTGGTAAAGAAACACACACCCACACACATCTGTGCTATACCGATTGGGACCAAGCAAGACAAACTGCCGGTTACGAAAGGAGAATGCTGCCATTCTCAGCCTCCCCAAGTGCTATCGAATGCAAAGTATTCCAGAATTCGAAACGACGTGAATGCAGAAGATTTCGAGTCGCTCACAATTTGAGTGGAAAAGGTCCCACATCCCGTTAACAATAAGAATGTTGGTCTCCCAAATGCTTAGCGGCAGATGGTCCCATGATCGCCACTCCATCAATACGTCACCTAAGGAGCAGGACAAAAGCGAAGGAACGTTTTTGAAACCACATTTACTGAATATGTTTGTGCGCGCACCTTCTGGCGTCACCTCTTGTATGATTGTGCCAATGGCACCTCTCGCGTCAGCACCGAGGCGCAGCTTCTTGGCTTCTTACTCTTGAGCAGGTAGATGGCCAGCGGGCGCATCCTGAGGCCGTTTTGAAGCAGTGCCGACAGCCTGGAAATCCCATCTGAACGAGGAATTCTAATTTCCGGCAAAGTTATCTTATTGTCTTAAACGAGCATCAGCGCCGTTCCTTCTTTAGTTGGATGGAATTCATGCCAATTCTTCCCTGTCATCCAATGAGATCCGAGTTCGGAAGAGCCAAGTGTTTTCAGGAGTTGCTTACTGAAGCCGTGTTCCGGGGAGTAGGTACATCGCACCTCGTAGTCGGGACCTACAATCCTGCCTCCTCCCGTGTACAGCTGTCCCCTATGTGTAGGAGCGAAAGCGGCAGAACCGCCGTCCGCAAACGCATGATACACAGGGTCGCCCTGTCAAAGGTCACGGTCGCCGATGAATCGCTCTCCAGGGGCTCACCGGTGCGCGCTGGTGACAGCGTCTATCCTCCTGACCCTCCCTCCTGTCCATGCACTGTCGGTCCTGTTGTCGGCGACAAAAACTCGAAGGCATTTGCACCTCTGCCTTGGACACTGCAGTCGTCTTGCCCTCACAAACACGTCTCGCGCCACTGCAGACACCAGAACAACAGCAAATTCTGACTCGCTGCAGCGCAGGCCATACCTGTGATGTGGCGGACCATCGCCAGGCAGCTGTCGGCCCCAGCGATAGTTGCCCGCCCCCTTGCTGTCAAGCAATGAATCAATGATGGATCATTGTCAGTCCATTCAGTGAATCACTGCATCACTACAGACAACCTTCCTGGGTTGCTTTGTATCAGAGACGGCCGTGATCCTGGCTTGGCTGGCCACAAATGGCGGGCCACATGGGTGTTTCACATCACCCATACATGGTCACCATAGCCGCCCACCCTACAGAGAAACGGGAACGCTCTCCCCCGTCGGCTCCACCGCGGGGGGACAGCACTCGAGTTGGAGGGGGTGAATGGAGGGAGGGAATGTGAGGAGGGGTGCCGCCCCCCGTTGTCGCTCGGACAGATGGCTGAGGGACTCGCGGGCGGTGCGGATGAAGGCAGAGATCGCGGAGTGCACGTCGGTGGCCGTGCAGAGGTTCCAGAGGCACCACTTGACGTATATGTCCTCGTCAACTCCGAGCCATGCCTTCGCCTGCAGTGTCTTCCGGAAAAACTGTCGGAGAGCCTACACGGAAACGAGAAACACGTGGGTACAAACCAATGTCACAAACCGCCTCACCTGGGTCTGATCTGCCACGGACGCTGTCTTGATTGAGAGCCTTGGATGCGTGACGGGACGTGGGGGATGAAGAGGCCTGCGAGTCGGGCAGCTCAAATGCGAGAGGTAACCATGTCGTGGGTCCGCGTGTTGGTTTTGGGGATCATGTTGTGCGAAAAGGCCGGTGAGGACCTTTCCTGTAGCTAGCTGAATAGAGGATCTGCTGGGCGGTAAGTCCCAGAGTAAGAGTGCTTTTACTTCAGTAAGACCGATGGACTGGCCAGTCAGTCAAAGTTGTTTCTGTCCATGTATAGCATCATGAAGGGTGGTCAACACAGATCTGACTTCGGTGCTATCTCAGAGGTCAGTTGGATACCGGACGCACAAGGGAAATCCACTGGGTTCGCATTCTCCATGCTGAATCTCTTGAGCATCTTGTCGATGTACTATGGCTGTGTGATCTGCAAGGTCCTTTCTTGACGATCGCGGATGATCTTGAGGCCGAGAAAGATGTCAACCTCGCCCAGGTCCTTCGTCGCAAACACGCTCGACAGCTGCTGCTTGAACCAGGTGACACATGTGAGGCAGCATCGTTGGCGTGCTCGAGTCCGCGAATTGGGCTAGTGCCCATGCGCGAATCGGGCTGACACCTCAGCACGGTCGTCGTTCCGCGAATTAGGCTAGTGCCCAATTTGCGTCTTTATGAAACAACGCGTGCGGTCAGACAAAACGTTCGATCACGATCGTATGGAAGAGAAAAGGAAAAACGGTAGCGGTGTTGTGTTGCTTGCACTATTACAGACACGTCAATATGTCGAGAAGCTTCGTGTTTTTTTTTGTCACGTTTGGATCAGTCAACGTTAAACTGATGTACCCTAAAGCGGCAAGTTATTTGAAAGCTTGGCCGTCAGTCCGTCTAGGGTGCTTCCTGAAACAACTGCTGCTTGAAGAAGATCGCGCTTGCTTCGCGGAGAAAGTCAACGAACAAGGGTATCTCTGGGCGCGAACCTCTTAAAAAATGCATCAACTGACTGTTAACACACGAAACGCGCCAGTTTATGGTGGACGGGATGTTTCTCCCTTGTCCGGTCATCCAGCTGGTTCAACTTGGTCTTTCTTGGGCGCCTTTTCGCAGGTCCCTCAGTGCCGCATCGACTTTGTGGAGCTTCTGGCGGTTAACGAAAGAGATCTCGCGACTATCGTGCAGTGTACTCGGTAGTGGATATGCTTGCAAGACTCCTCTCTGCAAATGCGGTCACCATCGACTGTCTGCTGCTTCCCCGCTTGGCGCCGCAGCCTCTTCTCGCCACTCTTGAAGTCATCGAAGACGTGCAGGAGCGAATCGATGCTGCCGAGCCTTCGGTGTTATCTGCAACACCGGTAAGTGCCGCCAGACACAGCCAATGTCTGCTTTCCAGTTCAGCAGAACAAGCCTTCATTCATGACGGTCTTGCCGGTGCCGAACTCGCCGGTCAGGCACATGCGCAATGGCGTGATGCATTTTTTGTCCCTCAGGTCTTTGTCGTGGTTCAGCAAGTGGCTGCCGATGATTTGGAACGCCCGCATCTGCTCTTCGTTCAATTGGTAATGGCTCGCCCAGTCTCAGGCGGCTTGAATGCGGACGCCGGCTGCACCAGCAGTCGAATGAGGCTGGCAGCATTCATCGAGTGACCACCGTGTGTGGAGAGATTCGACTCGAAGAGAAGCTACTCAGGAGGCTTGCTTCATCTGACGTGGTGCGGCTGTGGCCGATATCATTTACCTTGTTGCGTTGCTGGTGCAGGTCATCGTTGGGCTGATCCTGGCGGTTCCCATTTGATTGACAAGCCTATTGATAGTCATCAACTCGGACGTAACAGGAGCGGCAACATGGGGGGGGCTTGTGTTCTTGGTGCAGCCCTCTTGAGTACCTGCATGTTTTTCAAGCTCCCGCCATTTGGTGTCTGCATGTTTTTGAAACTTTCGCCATTGTTGCATGCGTCGATGTGCTTCTCGCCAACACTTGTGCTTGGCTTGTGCTGTGCACGTCTCTGTGACGCATAATTGAACCACCACTTCGCACGCTTTTTTCGACTCCCGCCCAATTCGCGGCCCGGGGTGCCCACGCAGTGGGTGCGCCTTACTCGGAATCTTTCTCAGACGGAAGGCGTGCGGTCAGACAAAACGGTCGATCACGGTCGAACTGAAAAAACAGAAGGTCACCTCACACCAGTGCTGTTGCTGGCACCCCCACTACTCACCCAACGCGTTAAAACCTCGCGACTGCTCCGGCAGATGAGGAAGCTCAGCAGCTCGCACGACGCACGTCTAGGGTATGACGTGAAACCGCTGCAGCTGGAGCCGGCTCTTGGACATAGCGCATAAGTCCTTCCCAGCTTGTCAAGTGTTTGTCACAAGCGACAGCGCATCAGCATAGAGTCAGAAGAAGGCATGAGGGTGGTCGGCGGCG